CAGTTGATTTTGTGCCAGGAGCAGCTATGATCTGCTTGTAATAGTTTCCACAAGCGTTTTTCCAAATGAAATATGCGGATACTGTGTAGTGTCACTCTTATACCAATCAATGATCCAGCTTTGTCTGCTGGTAGTCCTTTGCACAGATCTGCTTCATATTGCTTGTAATCACTCATTCTGGCAGCAGGTTGTCGTCAACTTCGTCTTCTGCAAAGTCGTCTTGCTGGGATCTAGACCTGACTGCAGTTCTGGGGCGTTCAGAGGATGGTCCTAGGGGATCTGAATAGATGAGATCACCCTTATCTCCCATATACAACTTTCGGTTCTCATCCATTTCCTCGTTATTACCAGATAGACCAGGAGCATCTCGATTGCCATAGCCAACACCACCATAATTTCCGCCATTCAAGACACCTGAATGTCCTTGAGGCGCTAAGCCACCAATAGTACTGGATAGGCCTTGAGTACCTCCAAGGTTTGCGCCAATCGCAGATGAAGCATATGTACCAGAGCTTGAAGTATCCGAAGAAAACAAAGATCCCGCCTGGCCTGAATTTTGCGTTAATCCGTGAGCACGACCCAAGCCCACCGAGGCAAGAGGGTTTTGCTGTCTCAACAGGGACGCACTGCCCTCGCGACTGTCAGCTGTGATCAGGAGCCAGTGGATTTTATTCAGACAAAGAGGTAGAAAGTACAGTAGAGGAGGATGCAATAAAAAAAGCCAAATGAGGTGATTAGTTGATGAATATATCAAGATATTCTCTCTGATTATCAATTTAGGTACATAATATACCATATAAAGCTATTTATTAATGACGAACGATTCCTGTTAATCAGATGTGAAAGATTATAATGCTCAAAAAATAACCAAATCTATAGTAACACAATATTAATGCTGATTTTACACTTAAAATGATCATAAACTATAATGGATATCACTTCTGAATCACGACTTACCACCCCCACTACTGGCGCTCGCCGAGTTTTCCCGACTCCCAGCTGTTGGCCCGGCCAAAAAAGCAGTGCGTCGGCTTGATGCGGAAAGTTGGCGCTGATCTCGAGCTTCTTTCAATTTTTCAACTCGACGCAGACGCGTCATATAATCTTGAGCCTCTGGGAGGCCGAGGTCTCCACTTAAACGCACTAACAGTTGTAAACCTGGCCCCGAATGAAAAAGGATTTATGGTGGTAATTAAGTCAAATCAAAGTAAATTGACTGGTTACATGAGAATAGAATTATTGGAAGGATATTCAGTTTACAGGTGGAATAATATTTAAGTTTAGACAGTATCTACTTATGAAATGTTCAAAGTAATATATTTGAAAGCTATACCTAAAAGATATTGAGCGTTGACGAGTACTTATGCCATTACAGCTATAGGAGTCTCTAGAGTTCAGATGTAGTAGAGATTATGCAGCTCCATGTCAGCATTTTACTAAGGACTATTAAATAATTATTAAAGCAATATCTAAAACGAGTTATTTTAAGTGGCATTGCTTAGCAAAAGTTTCCAACATGGGTTGAAATAAAGAGGCTTCAGCAGAGAAATTGCAACTTGTTCGCAAATGGCTTATTTATGCCTATTTCGTAGATAAGATGCATGTCAAATCACTTTATTGTCCAGATTTATACAACGGAAGTTTAAAACTAGACATAAAATCAAATTAAAATCAAAATGCTAATCATCTTGGGAAAATTCGTTTTCTAATACCATAAATTTAAGTTAACAACCATCTGCATATAAAATACTTACATTCAATATTGTCGGGAAAACGTTTGTGGATCAGCTTATAGGTATCGTACGCCTTTTGATAATTCCCACTGCGACGATAACACGATGCAATCATTAACTGCCATCTGATTTGGTTTGGCCTTAAAACAATTTTTTGTTAATATCTTTTTATTTTAATATTATCATAGACATGTTCTATAGTCCGTTATCAAAAAGTTATTGTTCAAACTTATATCTTAGAATAATATTAATATTAATATTTTAACATTAGTTACAAATGTAAAAATATTCTAGTTCATAATGGTCATGAACGTATTTGT